CTACAAAAAGACAATTCCCTTCCTTTTCTATAAAACTACAAATTCTTTAATTCCCATATGAAATTCAAAAATACGACTATAACTATAGAATACACCCACATTACTTTAGAAGAATTCATGCTTGCAGATAACTTCGAGCGTTTGCAATTTGTTCTTTCATAGTCTTAGCGAATAATTCCGCAATCTATAATAATAGGCCGAAATGTCAAATTTTAAGTCCATTGTTTGCAAATAAAGCGATTTAATTCAACTTTGCGATATAATTAATATAAAATAATAGTGAAACAAAATTGTTACGGCTTATGCAATTGTGGCCTTAACATAAATAAATTATTTCAAAATGGAATGCAATTGAGAGAAATTATTGTAAAAAAATTTGGTCTCCTGTGGTGCATATAAAACATAATCAGCTTAACATATTAAAGAATATTTTTGTATTATAAGAAAAACGAGCAAAACAATTTTAGACAATTGGCGTAGACTTTAGCTACCTCAAAAGTTTTGGTTTCAAAGGGTTATTAAATAGCTATAAAAATTTTGCCTTAAAATTATTAAATAAACAGATGTTGGAACTCGCTACCTCTGTTTAGTTTTGCCAACTATTAGGTTCTTTCATAGTAGTCAGCCACTTAGCAATAGAAATACGAGTAAGTCAGCACTACTTTTAAAATTATTAAGCAATTTGTAAATTTGTAAAAAAATTTGAAAAATTTGAAAAAAGCAGTTTGTAAAAAAAATTCGTAAAGTAATATTTTTAATATTTTGCTGTTTATACATCAAAGAATTTTATACATTGACAAATATTAAAAATAAAATTATTAAATATTATTAAAAATTAAGTTATTAAATTAAATTATTAATATTAAATTATTAAATATTATTAAATATTATCAAAAAATGGACTTGAATTAATCAAATTACAGATGTAAATCTTACAATTCATTGAAACCAAAAAAATCGCATAGTTCAGTTTGAGTTAAAATATATTTGATGAAGCACATAATTCATTTCGAATGGTTCGCAAAATTACTGATTAGGCTTTTTCCGCTAGCTATAAGCCATTTAAGGCCTTCCAATTTAAAGATTATAAATCTAATGTACCAGTAAAAAATGGAAATTCATTTCAAAGCATCTAAAATTAATAAAAAACGTGATAGCGAACAATTAAAGATAATCGTTTGGAAGAAAATTGTAGATTTATTAGCCCATTAAGAAATTTTGGATCTCGAAAAATGCATTAGCGTTCGTTTCTTAAATAGAAATTATATCAATTATAATCTAATCTTCTTTCATTTGCATAACAGTTTTGAGGATATAATTCATAAATTTGTATATAAGTAAATAATTCTAATTGATAGATATTATAGGGGTTTGAATAGTTTAGTTAGTTATAGCTTACGCTTTGGTGAGGCGATGCAGTTCTATTCTCGGAAAAAGTAAATTTGTCTCGCAAAAATCCGGCTAGTTTCTCATTATTTGTACTTCTCAAAGTGGTGAAATTTATCTGATCCAATGAAATGGCATAATTAGAAATAGCAAACGCTCCTAGAAATAAACTGAGACCGAGGGAAAGCGTTTTGGATTCTATTAGTACAGAAACAAAGTTTTATTTAAAGTCCTTAAAATTATTTTGGCTAATTGACCACCCTTATTTGTCTTACAAAATGCTAATACTATAGTATAGAAAAGCGCAAACGATTTTTCATTGTTCACCATCAAGTTCCAAATTAATTTAAGGTTTTGCTGTGAATGAATGAAGTGATGAGGGTCAACTTTTGAATGAATTCCTTCTTTTAGCAGATCCTTCATTCTTTCTTATTTGGCTCGATGAAGTGAAATACAATGATCCTTTCAACAGAAAACCATTTGGACGCAAAAACTATAAATGGATCTCCAATAGCAACCTCGGATTAAATTTTTATCTCTATAAGAATCAAAAGAAAACTTGGCTGCCCTCAATTGAAATAATACAAAATGGAACGATGACGTCTCAAAAGCCTCTTAACTATGCGAATAACTAAGATTTTTTTCTTTATATTCTTTTTTCTTTGAAAGAAAGAGGAAAATAAGAATTAGGATTTTGAAAAAAATAACGAAGGATTTGCAACTTTCCCACTTATTCTTTTTTCCTATTTGCATTTGGTTGAACCAACCTGATCAAAATTTTCGCTCTTTTGTCGCTATTTTTCGCTCATTTTCGCTGATTTGTCGGTGATCAAAAAAATTCTATAAAATGGAATTTAGGTAACAATTGGTATCGCTCGATTTTTCTAAAGGATCATTTCAGCCTTATCGACTCAATCGTTTTTAAATTCGATTAAATAAATAAGTGAAAGCAATATATAAAACATTAAATATCAATAATAAATATTAAAATAAATAAAAATTCAAAATAATCCAATAACAAATCAAATAAAATGTTAAAGAAGGAATCGTGCTTGTGAACGACGATGAAGATGAACGACGATGACGGCGGCGGCAACGACGATTTATGAAGGAAATATCGCGATTTATACGCGAAATTGTGTATTTTGCCGCAAAACATCAAAGAAGAAATTATTGCACCCATAAGCACGATTAAATAAATCGTTTTAACGAGACCAACAAATTTTTTCGTTCCAATCAATCATCTAAACAAAAAATTTTTGTTCAGAAATTTATTAAAACCATTTGTAATTTACAATTTTCATTCGATGTGACCTTTTTGGAAAAAAAAATGGAATTAGTTAACATTCATTTAAAATATGAAAATTGACATCAACCGATAAATTTATTATATATAAATAAATTAATGAAAAATAAAATTGTAGAAGAAACGGCCAATAAAACGAACATTCTCTGTACTGCTTGTTCATAAGTAATTCTTTGTATAGTTTATTTTAATATTACCACTGTAACAAGTAAACTTGCATATAGCATTGCAACATCACTAAATCTGCACACAGTGTTGCAACAACTAAATCTACACATAGCGTTGCAACAACTAAATCTGCACTAAATAGAGCTCCAACAACTAAACAGACAACACCTCCCAATTAAGCCAATTTCTTTCGTTTAGATGCTTTAATATTCTTAAAATCAAAAATAATGCTAATTTAATTTATAGTTCATGATGGTTTACATAAGATTAGCGAGAAATATCTAATATCCAAGTAGATAAACCCAAATACCCAAACAAAAATGCACTGCAATCAAATGTATGCAAAAAAATTCGATATCTAACAAAAAACTTACAATTTTAATTCTCTTTATGCTTGTGAATATACTCAAAAAAAAAAATGATTACACAGCTATTGTAGCAAATTTACCATCAAATTTTAAATTATATAAATTATTATTTAAATTTCGACTTTTAAAATAATGTAAGAGAAGAAACATTCTATGATTGTATTCCATTATTTTCAGTAATATTAATTTTTTGGCTCGGACATTATCCAAACGAAAAATGCACTGCACCCAAATGTGCTATTTTATTTTTCATTTTCTCATCATTGAAAAGATATTCGACTGCATAAAAATATTTTTTATTAACATTTTTTGGGGTATATCATACAATTTCGATGAACAGAACTGAAAAGATAATCTGAGAAATGCTAAGTTTTTTATAAATAACAATATCAACTGTTCATATTCAACTTGATTTTTTGGACCATAAAATATCTTGGTAGATACAAGACAAGCGGTCAAAAAATATGGGAAATGAAACGACTAAAACAGACGAATTTCCATCGTGCTTGGCTTCAAAAAGATTGTTTCAACCCCACAGGAAATGCTGCTATCATTTATATTGTTTATCAGCAATCACATATGATCGCCTGATGCTCAAAAAAAAAAAAAATAGCAGTCTTCTTCAATCTTACAATCTTATGGATTGCATAGAGAATAATAAATCCGTCTCTAATAGTCATCACGACCTTGGAATAGAAACACAAAAAAAAAGAATGGTACAAAAAGGATGTTCAAGCAGCCAATTTCCTTTATATTTCTTTTCACTTCCTTTCCATGCAATTCTTTAGCGAAAACTGAAAATAAAAAATCTATAAATGATGAATAAAATGCTAAAAAAAATTAACGATGAGATGGAACTCGTCAGAATCACTTTCAGTACCACTTCTTGCATAAATTATTTCTAATTAATTATATATCATTTTAAAAATATTTTAATATTTAAATACAACAATTATGAGCAAAAACTGATTAAAATATTTTAAAAGAAAAAGATGAAACCTGAATCATAGGCATACGTCTTCGTATTGTTCAAAAACGATATTTAGAATGTCTGAAAACTGAAAATAAATTATCAAATGAAAAATCGACAATGAAATCCCATTTTCTTTTTCTTTTAAACGTAAGAAACATATCGCTTTTTAAGCAGGATAATATGATAATAAATAATAAACATTAACAGAAAAAAAACCAACCTCCTCCTTGAATATCTTTCATCACACCTATAACGCTCGCCGTATTCTCTTTCACCCCGATTTCTATTCGAATAGTCCCTTATTTGACGAATTGGGGAATTTCTCCGATTTCTATTATCTCTTGAAATTAAATCAATCAAATTAAGGCCTTGAATTCCTCTGGGAATTTTGTGGAATTTTATTACTTATATTTAAAGCCTATATAAGCCTATATTTCTTTGAAAATTTTCGAAAGCATAATGAAATAGAAAAAAAGATTTGGCATGAAAATATTTATAAAAAATTAATAAATAAAAAATTCGACTGAACTGATACATAGCTACTTCCATTATGATTTGTTATGTGTATTTACAATTAAAATAGCAAATTTCAGCCAAAAATTAATGATAATTAATGATTAATTAATGAAAATTAATGATAATGTAAAATAATGTAAATCTTTTCGAATATATTTCAAGAAGTGCATGGAACCGAAGCTAGCAATCGATTCATGAAATTTATAAAAAGGAAAAATAAGCAAAAACTCCATTTCTCTTCTAATCACAGCAAATTCGGTGATAAGATCGGACCATAACAAGATCATATTCTCCAAATTCCATAAAGTTGAACATAGGTATTAGTGAAACAAAAAAAATATCCTAAATAAAGATAACCAAAAATGTACCCAACTAGCCTCCTCGATGGTGATGGATAAGGCGAAGACGCATAGCGATTATATTTTTCAGTAGAACATTCAACACGATATGAGACTGGTCTGCCATCAAAATGAAGATCCATTAAAGGCACAGGATATACCTGTGCCTGTGCCTATAAAACAACAATTATACAATATAATTACAATAATTTGAGCATAAAATAAAAAATTTTCTTGACTATATTAAAATTTATATATTTGATCCACGATAAAAGCATTCAAAAATAATTAATTTTTGCCATTTTTACACAAAATGGATGTTAAAATCGTTAGCTACCGTGAGCGTCAAAGAAGAAATATAAAAAATTACTGATGTTCGAAAGACCGGAGGTTCACGAGAATTTCTTCGGGTTTGCATAGGAGGAACTCGCTCCCACGGCAACACATCCATTTGATCCACTTCTCTGAAAATTTTATCAAAAATTGAAAATTTTTAATCAAAAAAACGAAGCAAATTTTAAATGAAACCCAATTCAAAAAATAAACCATGAATGTGAGTCAAACTTCATTTAAGAAAATTTTATAATTATAATTATACAAAAAAAATTATAAAAAAAATTATACAAAAAAAAATCCTTTTCCCATTCCTTAAGAGTGGTGCGAGCCATTCTTAACCTTAAACTTAACCTTAACTCTGGGTCATCTACCAGAAACTTGAGGGTTATAATTGAATATTCTTGTTCTCATATATATAAACATGAATAGAAGACCTTCTTGCTTTTTTGAACTGATCGTATGAAATAGAAAAATCAAAAAGTGAAGGCAATGAATTTCGATTGGTTCCAGATCCCGTTCCTGTTCTCTCTCGTTTTTTTGAGCATAATCGACCAGAATTTATATTCAGCACATTACGAAAATCAACTGTTTCATCAAAAGGAAACATATAACACAATTTTTGCCCAGCTTGTCGTTGGATTTCAGATCCATCCAACCCAATATAAAGCGGTCTTTCTAAAATATTAAAAAAACTTATTAAATCACATTTAAATCACCTTTCCGTGCAAATATTAATTTCATAATATGCATATAATGAAATATTGAATTAAATTAGAAACCATATACCATGTGAGATATGGATACTTTTTTAAAATAGGACTACAGCAGTGACGTGAAATTTATTTTGAATGACAAGTTCTTATAAATGAATAGAACCTGTGCACTGCATACAAATTTTTATTTTTATAATAATAATTATTTTTTATTTTCATTATTAATGATAATTTTAGTTTTACTTTTACTAACTTAATTTTTTATTGCTATTTTTACCATAAATACTACCTTTTATTTATTTTATTTATTTACTTATTTATTACATATATATGTATATGTTTATATAAATATTTTCATAATATCAATATTTATTTATATGAATATATAAATTACCTGAAAATTCTATAAAATAAATAATTTTTTTTATTAAAAATACTATTAAAAGTAATTAAACAATTAAACATGTGAAATAAGATATATAAGACATAAAAATTCGACAAGTTATATAACTTTTTTAAAAATCTTTTTTAGAAATCTTTATGCTTATTTTCAGCGTTTATAACCTTTAAAAAAATTACTATAACTATATATAATTATATAATACTATACTATAATTTATATACTATAATTATAGTTGTAAATTTAAATTGTGTTAAATCATTAATCAATAGAAATTGAAAAAAATTAATACAAGTCGCAAACCTCTATTAAATGGATTTTTAATATGATCCGTCTCACTTAGAAGAACTGACTTTTTTGAAATCCATTTAATTTCGATATTACCACCGCCACTGAAATCTACCCACTGTAAAGCTGGTTGTCCATGATATAATGCTTCGGAGCATACTCGAGCAAAGCCTTAAATATTTTAAATAATAATCGTTTTTTCACAGAATACATGAAATAAAACCTATTAATTTAAAAACAAACCACAAAAATGGTTGGTTCCTTTCGCAAGAAAAATGAGTATAACGACTGATGATTTCCGAAACGCTTCACGGAGAAGATCTTCATTCTGAGGACTTGTTGTCCAAAGGCATTTATTTTTTGCTATGTCAATATTTTTCTGACAGGCTCGAGCCAAAAAAAATACGGCTTTATGCAACAGAGCAATAATTTCTACTGATTCTGCAAATCAACTATGATAAACAATACATTATTCCATTTTGCATCATTGGTATCATATCGTTATATAAAATTTAAAAAAAAGAAAAAAGCCTTTAAAAATATAAGATAACCTCCACAAGTACTGAAATTCATTCGAGAAATATTTAGCAGATCACAGGAACCAACTCTGCGTGGATAAGTAACAGGCTTTTTAGGCAATGAAAGCGAATAACGTCGACGTGTTTGCAAATCTGAAAAATTCTTAAGAGCTATTAAAATTCTTAAAATTGTATTGTATTATTAAATCGAGAATGAGATACTTTATAATCATCATTATAAGGCATATATTATATATTCTAATAAAAAAACGATTATAACTTCCTAAATCAAAAATATTTTATGAATATAATAATGTTTCGAAATCTCTATGCTCAAATTAATATATAAATTTCATACAAAAGATGAGTAGATGAAATCTAGTTCGAAGAAACTTTATAATTTTAAATTTTCCTAAAGTTTATAGAATTAATAATAAAATAAGCAAACTGCAAAGTAAATTAAGTAAGATGTTGGCGCTTACTATTTCATCTTATACTAGCTCCGCTGATTATTAGTACAGATGAAATTTTTTTCAGGAAGTCACCCAGTGGTAGAAATGCGAGTAGCTAGCCAGCATCATTTTAATTTTTTAAAGACAAATTTATTCCTATCCATAACTTCAAAAACCCTTGCCTTCGCGATACGCGATAATCAATAATCTGAACCACTATCAAATTGGCTTTCCTACCAACAAATTACACGGAAGAAATAAAAAATTACACGGAAGAAAAACAATAACCTTGTAAAGGATCGGAATCACATTCATCTTTGACAATCAAATCATCAACATCGAGCGTTTGCTTCTCATCATTGGTAAAGATCACTTCATTTGCTGTTGATGAGCACTGCTCTACAATTATACCGTCAATCATCTTTGATGCATTATAAATGCATTGCCGCTTTCTTTTTTCTTCTTTTTCCTTTGAGTCCGTCGAAAATTCCACATGATCTGCATTTAGGAAGAATCTGCTTTGGCATTCAGCACTTGCACTAATATAATGATGGCGACAAGAACCATTATGTTTGAAGAAAATCTATGTAAATAAGAGAAGCACAAACTGGTGAGGAATATAGTGCGACGATGCCGATGAGGATATATGAATATAAAAGACGTTGGTGGATATAAGGCTAAGTGATAAAAAAAATTTTTTCTGATATGAAAATGAAGGGGAAAAGTAGAAGATGATGGTTAAGAAGATTTATCCACCAGGTTCTCGCTGAAACACAATTAAGATAAACAACTAGCGTCTGAAAGCAAAAGCGAAACTCCTGCGAATATTCGATTCCACATAAAATATATTATTACCTATGTATTTATATTAAGGGCAACACATTTAAGCAATAATCCATTTCAACAATTCCATGAACAATGGACAAATTAGAAGTTAAGACAAAAACAGAAATATATCTCATAGATATATCTCATACACAGAAGACGCCTATTGTTATCATGTGCAACCATAATTGAAAGAAACTTTTCATAAATGGACTAGTAAAAATTTAATGCTGCGATAAATTTATAATTTTCATGGACGGACTTGACTGGTGTCTTTTATTTTACAAATCGTAGTCACAAGATTAGCGTGGAACAAATACGCCTAATAATTTAGAAATAATTCAGAATAATGAAAGAAAAAAAGAAACCAGTACCGCTCATTGATGATCCATTTCGACAATCTGTACTAATTTCCTCTGCATCAGGATTAAATTCTTCATGCTGCGATGACCTCGATGGTGAACAGACTAAAAATACACAATATAGCTTAGGCTTAGGCCTAAGCCCAAAGCATAACGTTTTGATCAGAAATTATTAAAGTGAAACGTTTTTACGATTTTTTTGTCTCACGCAAAATATTTTAAAAATGTCTATGAAAAAATTATCCAAATAATACAAATAATAAATGAAAAATAGAAATGCCTATGGAAAAAACTTTTCTATTAATTATTTGCTAATTTATAAAAAATAAATCGAAAAAAATGAACATAAAAATTAAATCGAAACAAATTATATTTTTTTATGATCTCACTTTTATTAAAATATTTTTTTTATTGAAATATCAAATTATAAGAAATATTTTCGTTGAAAATCGTAAAATACTAATGTTACCTTCAGTAAAATTGTCGTTTTGTGATTCGTCTAATAACGATGAAGATTTTCCTTCCTCTGATAATTCCATCAAAATAATTCACACTGAAAATAAAGTTTAAAACCGTATAAACGGATGCACGAATGGTCGTTTTTAAGCGAACAAAATCAATTCAACTCGTCCTTTTACTTTTCCAAATTACATAATATAACAACTGACAAAATTAATAAATCCTCAACCTCCTTCCTTAATCAAATCGCAACCCCTCGCAACCCCACTAAGCAAATTCGAACCATGGAAGTAATTAAAAATTGAAATATAAAAAATGGAAATAAAAATAATGGAAATATAAACAATAATATTAAAAATATAAATAATAATAATTAAAATATAAATAATAATAATTATAATAATAATAAAATATAAATAAATATAAATATCAATCAATAATTAATAAAAGAAGAGATATCCACTAAAATAAAAATTATCGATTTTCCAGCAAAAGAAAATTCAAATCGAACTCAATTCAGATATTTTAATAATTTCCATTCGTTTCATTTCGTTGTAATTAAAAAAAAAAACTTCTAAGCTTATTTATTTATTCACTTTTAGTTAATTATACTTCGATAATCGATAAATATTGTAGGGCCCTTATGAACCTTAACAACCACAACAGTTACCTATAATTCTAAGTGATTACAACGAATCCTTTTTTTTGATTTGATTTTAACGAACAATTATATTAATTTTACAATCATAAATTCATTTCTCTAAATTTATTAGAATAATTTTTTCAGAATTTCTCATAAAATATTTATCTCTGCTCAAATGTATTTATAAATTTATTAACAATAAATAACAATTGCAGTTTTTTAAAATTAATTTGATTTAAGTAATTTCACTTCAATAATTTCACTTTAATTTACAAAAAATATTAAAAATTAAAGGAAAAACATTGGGTTTTCTAAAGATACACTGAGAATTTTAAGGAATAAAATTCGGTATAAAATTCCAGGAATCCAGGAAAAATTTCCCCGAAACGTCCCATATCCATGGAAAAAAACTATTTTTTACAAGAACGAAGCACATTTTAATGAACCAATTAAACAAACAATGTAACAGTGACGATATCCTGGATCACAAGCAAAAACAAATTTACCAATGCAGACAGATCAGTGCCACCGCTTATCTGCTAAATAGTAAATCTAAATTGCGGTAGTGGCTTACCTTTTTGAATTTGTCTCATTTTTTTTAAGGCTTCAATGAACCTTTTCACAGAATTGATATAAATCGACAGCGCTTTAAGAAAAGTATTTAATGAACGAATTAAACTTTATAATTAAAAGAATAATCATAATTTTCAAGTCATGCGAATGAATAAGCAATAAAAATCTGCGGAATATGGAATCTATATTGCAGTCGCGGCTTGCAAATTTGAAGCAATATTTCGAATTTCTCTATTTGATGTGGTAAATGAAAGTTTTTATTTTCACATTTAGACAATAAATGGTGGGGAAAGGGTGGGGGGGGGGAGATAGTGGGGGTTTGGTGTTTTTTCGGTGAATGAAAACGAAGAATGATAAGTGATTGATATTGATAAATGGAGTATGGAGAAATTTGGCCATCTGATTGCTTCACCATCAAGCATTTATTTGTACAACAAAAAATTCATGCTCTACGGCAAAGCCAAAAAGGCGCTCGCGATTGGCGCATCGAGCCTCGACGCTATATGTGCCAATTATGGAAAAGTTGGATTTTATAGGAAATATCGAAATGCAAGCCCTCTTTTTACCAACATGGCTAAAGAATGATCAAAACAAAATTGCACAAATGAAGGCTATTTTTCTAGAAAAGTTAAGAATTTTGATGAATTTTTACAAATTACACCATAATTTTAGGCAGTGACGAGGTAATATAATAACATTATTGCCAGTGGCTAGCTGGTTGCAGAGAGTAAGTGAGAGATTAATATTCCATTCTGCAGGCAGGTGGGATAATGATAGTCAAAGTACCAGTTCCAACGGATTAGCAGGTAGATTATTAATCTTACGGATTCAGCGAGACAATAGGTCAGTGAGACTACTGGATTAATAGGTCGATATATTAGTGGTCTTATGGAACAGTGGATTATTGTATCACTGTATTTGTGGGTTACTTAGTAGAATATTGTGGAAAGTCATTCGCCCCAATAGCTCCACCCAAATAGTTTAGTTATATTGCATTCTTGTAAATCTGTTCTGCTTCTATAAGTTTGGTATTTCTGCTTGGTACTTTAACTGGTGATTCGATTAATTCTTTAGGTGTTTTTTGTTCAAAAGGCTCTCTCTCTCTTCGTTTCAAAAACTACTGATTCAGTTTTTGATTGTTGATTATTGTATTGAAGATAATTCAATGCATTAATCCGTGTATTACATAATGAATTAACAGATATATTTTAGCTCAAAACAACAACACGAAAAATTTCTTTAAATTTGTTCATCACATTTGGGGAATATTTGAAGAAAGTTTCGCGAAGAGTGACGAAGGAGTAATAAATGTTACGGCGAAGGAGGCAAATGGTTCCATACGGCGTCGATGAGATAATTACACATCGCCTGACGCATTCCATCTCCACCTTGCGTTCTTCCAAACGATTGGCCCTATAAAAAAATTAAGGAATTTTTCGCGATTTTAAATAAAATATCTCAATTAAATAAATGCATCGAATTGCATAAAGAATCTTAAATAAAAACTTTCTCCTAAGGAAACTTAATATTATCATTTTCGCTTATATTATCAAATGATAAAAATTGTTCTGATAAAAATTTCCAGCATTTAAACAGTCCGTAGAGCAGATTTATTCAAAAATAATGAGCACCTAACCTACTATTTGATTACTTACTTAATAGTAAATTCCTCTAATGTCTTTAAAAAAAAGGAAAATTTCCTTCAGCACCTTTTTCTTTTTATATTGTTCGTTGCAAAGTTGAATTAGTGCATTCGCATTTTCTTGTGTTTTATAATGTGGTCGCGCATCCATATCCGTTTCCGCAGCATTTTCATCTAAAAAATTTTTTTCAACTCCGTTGATTAAATTTCGAAATATTTTCATATGGTTAATTGCATCGTTTATCATCGTTTAGTGATCTTAACAATGGTTGATTCTTATTCTTTCCGCCAAACATAAGCACCGTAGATTTGCTCGAAGCGTCATTCGGACAGGCATTCTGTCGCTAAATGACTCTCTAATATTCACTCTAATTAGACTATGCAAATTTCAAGTAGGCGTAAATGGAAAATTATCGTCTTAAAAGTGATACGAGATTGATAACAAAAAAAAGCAAAATGAATTCATCCAACTCTATTAGAAAATAAATTCTTCTCTATGATAATGATAGTGATAACGGCAATTTCTGGAGGTCTGAGATCTTCTCTATGATAATGATAGTGATAACGGCAATTTCTGGAGGTCTGAGATTCGACAAAAAGTGGAATTGCAGACAATCGATGGGGAATATTTCTATGAATTGCAAACTCATATGATGGAAATTAATTAATGAAGCCATTTGCCTTTATTCTTTAAAATTATTCCTTAAAAAACCCACTGAAAGCCAACCATGTTCCCGCTTCATTTGAGATAATAAATACCATTATTAAAAATAATATTCTAATATTCGTATTCATTTATTTTTGCCTGGAAAAAAATTCGTCGTTTTATTCATAATTAAATTCGTAATTACATGAAAATTATTCGAGCAGATTTTTTTAATGAATTCGAATTTATTAAAAATCTAAAATCACAAAATTGTTATGAAAATTATTGTTGCAGAAAAAAAAAATTTTTTGAGATAATAAAATTTTTCATATTGAAATAAATGAATTTTATATTGAAATATTTGCATAAATTTTCATAAAATGCGCATAGGGGGAAATTCGAATTTCTTGAGTTTTTCTGGCTCTTAGACTAATTTTATCAGAGATATAGTGATAATAATAAAAAAAAATATTGTCAGTTATTGAATCGAATGTTAACCGAATGTCGAGGTTAAGCATCATAAATCCTATTGGCATATTGAAAATTCCAACCAACCAATGGTGCCATAATGGAATTGAGCTGAGTATACGAATCCATTCGTATGTATTTCTAAATCTTGGGCAACAATATTATCAGTAAACCCATTCCAACCAGAAATGGTATTGGATGATAAGAAGACAAGTGGTTTGATTTTTGAAATAACATTAACTCTAGCTTTTCTCTCCTCGATGTTTCGGGCTTCAGGTACAATAGGAATCGCTAGCGTTGAAGAATAGGCTCTATGCTCTAAGTTGCGTATTAAGGAACCAGGAATCATTGTTCTATTCAACAGAGATTCGAACTATGCTTATAACGATTTGTATTAATATTTGGCTCGTCAAAGACCGTTGTTGCCTCCTCGTAGATTAAAGGCTTAAGATTTAGCTGATCTCTTTATTTATTGCTTTTAAAATAATAAATATGGCGAATTAAATTACAAAACTATTATGCGAAAATATAAACACATATGAAAGTCTATTTTTGTCTAATAGCACTCATTTCGCATTACGGTAATTCCGCTGGTCTATCCAACCGGAAAAGTTTTCCATTGAGCCATTTGACAATAGAACTGGCAAATGAGCTACAGGCTCGGATTTTTGATAGGCAGTTTGCTGAAGTCTGCAGCCTCAGCATCGATTCTGGACTAAAATCGGACTGCGAGTGAACTCATTGAGGCATTCAATACTATCATGAAATCCATTGGAAGAAATTCTTGATTAAAGTCGAATAAAACCATATCGATATTTAATTTTTCGATGAATTTTTAATTTATGTCAGTAGAAATGAATAGTTGAACGCAATATAGAATTATTTAAGAGATGAAAATTTTCTAAAATTGGAAATTTTTACGAACGATTTTCTGCATAATTTACCATCGTTTTCTGTTCATTAATATTCACTATTCATTCTTAAATTTATATTATAATAGGTGAAAGATAAAACGACATCGAAAACCGAGAGGATTTTGATTTTGAAGCGAAGGGATTCATTCATCTGATATTGAAACGCGAGCCATCTTCCATATTTCCTCGTATTTCCTTCCCTTCGGCTGTTAAATTTTTCAAAACACGTGAAAATTTTTAAAGCAGCTAATTGTTATTTCGTTTGTTCCAAAAATTTCAAAAATAAATATAAATCATAAAATAATCGAATAATCTAGCATTTTTTAATTTTTTTTCTTATTTCTCTTCGAAATTCTCATTTAATTAAATTAATTAACCAAAAAATTTTATTGATGAATTTGTCGAAGGAGCTAATACAAAGAAATATTTTTCTTGGTTCTGTTTGGTTCCGTTATCATCATTTCTATTATCATTACTATTATCATTATTAGGATCGTTATTATTATTATTATTACTATTACTATAATAAAACCAGCAATAAATATCAATTTGTACATAAACAAAATGAACTGCACCCACATACAATCACACAATATACTCTAACACTCCGTAATAATTGTCTGCAAGCCTCAGACGATAAGGTGGCTGCTATGGTTTAAATGAATTTAGATTTTCAAATTTATACGCCAATTAATTAAAAATTATTTCCATTCGAATGCTTTCGAATATATCAAAATTATTTTGAATCATTCATGTGTATGGACATAAATAATAAATTATTATTATTATTATAAAAAGAAAAATGATAAAATCGTTGTGACTCAGTCTGATAAGAAATAAATTATTATTTCTAATATTAATTACATTAATTATTAAAATAAGTTATAAGAAATAAATCAACTAAAAATTATTTTAAATGTTTTGCTATAATTTAATCATTAATCGGATAAATAAATCTTTTGGAATTGGAAGACAAATTTTAGAAAGAAAAATTTTCTATACAGAAATTTTTAATTTTAATTTTAATTTTTTAATAATTTTTAATTTTTTACAAAAATTTTTTGTAAAAATTATTTTTTATAATTTTTTATTGTTGAATTGCTAATTGAAGCAAGGCCATAAAATTCTGTCGCTAGATGGGACTTTCAATAAAAATAAAGTAGAAATAATACATTTGAAGATCTGCCCAAATCCAAATTTTCAAACGATGTGACTCTTTGTCCATTGAAGAGTTAGTTAGCGACAAAGTCAACCAAACTTAAAATGTTACTTGCTGTGAGAATATTTAAATCATTTTTAGTAAAAATTTTAAAACAAATAGCTGATAACACTTCAATGGCAAACACCATATCATATCATATCAATGGTTTCAAATATTTTTTAATACAAATAATTCTACACCTTTAAAAATTGCTTTCGCAATAATTTGGGAAAATTTTCCGGGAATTCGATCTTTCTCATGAAAATCCCATTAAAATATCTCTTAAATACGAACTATTTTTTTGAACACAGGTAAAAATCAAAACAAAAAATAATTGAATTTGGATATGTAAAGCAAATTAGCGAAAGAATTTAACGCACCAATTCCTTTTTTACCAAAATTTAACTTACAATTTATTTTTACCTATCGCATATTACGCATCGCACATTTTTGTAATTTAGAAAATAAAAAATTTATAAAATTTATTTACCATTATTTCATGAAATGAATCATAAAAATATTTTGCTAGAAAACTCGAGAATTCCCAAATTTAAATTTCCAAATGCACCTCAAAACTAAAAAATATCTGTAATTTAATATTAAAATTAATTATGCTTAACATGAAAGAAATGCAAGAAAACACGATTCCCAGATTTAACTATAGGCAAATTTCAGGCAGAAAACATGGGAGGCTAATGAAGAATGAAGTCAAACATAATCTTGAGATTTCAAAAGCGTAGGAATATATGGGTGGGCTTGGACAATGGAAAAAGGAGTGCACTTTAAATTTTTTAAGTAGTAACAGTTTAAAAAAGCTTGAAAAGCTGGAAATACTTCATCCTTATAGCCAAAGCAACCAATTTAAACAATTTAAACATCAATGGTATGAGCTATTAAGATGAGAATATGGGAATTGGAAAACAAGTTTGACAAAGAAACTTCAAAAAATAAAATAACTATAAAAAATATACATATAATATATGACATAATATATGAACATCAAAAATATACATCAAATACATAAAAAATTACAAAATAAAAACATATGGATATATATATATATATTTATATATAGTAAAACATTCAAAAATTAGAAAATTAAAAAATTAACTTGAAAGTACATTAGTTTGAATGAGGAAAGAAGTAATCAAAAGTATTTTAGAGAAATTAATCTAACATAGCTCAAAAAATTTTGCTTTGATATTATACAAAAATATTCTTTTGCAGTATATTATCATGAAATCGACGATAAAAATATAAAAAATATAAAATATGCAAAAAAAATAAATAAATGCTCGAAATCTATTATAAATCTATTATAAACAACCCGTCAAAATCATGAACAAATAATATTTGAAGCAACCAAATATAAAAACTGGTAAAACTCAATGTATATAATATAATATAAAATAATCATAACTATTAATATTTATCATTAATAATTTGAAAAAAAATGTAAACGAAAAATAAAACGATAGAAAAATTTTTAAAAAAAAGTGCAAAAATTTGAATTATCATATTATATTAGAAATACAATTATGTTAGAAATATAATTTGAATTTAAAAAGCAATCTTAATGAATTTATAAATAGATTTATAAACTAATATCAAATTCGAACCGCTCAAAAAAAAATAAAAGGAAAATTTGAAGAAAATTTATTGATAAGTGATAATTGAGATAACTATTTTATTAGAATACTCATTAAAGCGCATTTAAATGATAAATTTAAAAGGAATTTTGTAATAATAAAAACGCAATTCAGAAAATTTTTCATGTATTATTTATTGCGAAGCAAAAAAAAGTAGTAAGTGAAACCTATGGTGTGGCATAAAATTATCATAAATTATATCAAATCGAAGATCGAATTATCATAATCGAAAATTTAGAAAGATATAAGTCTACAATATTAAAGCAAAAGGATGCAACATCTATAAAAAATATACATAAAAAGTAAAAATATCTTGCATAAATTATACCAAAAAACACCATTTTTAAAGAATGTTCAATCATATTTCATTCATCATGCGTAACATTTGATCTTTAAATTTCGAAACTTTTTCAAGTTCCTTTTTCAACTTCTCAACTTGTTGAGAATGGTCCAATAACTGAAAAAATCTTAGGATTTGAAGGAAATAAGTAAGAAAAAAGAAAAAATAATTGAAAATAGAAAGTAGTCAAAATATTATTCAAACATGCAATATGCTATAATAAATTTGAGATTCTTGTTTATCTTTATTTCTCACATACAAGAAGTTGGGAGCGTAGAATTGCTCAGTGGGTTGTTACTCAGTTCAGAGGACCATTACTGGTTAGACTCGTTCCGCCGGCTTGTCGTACAAAAAAATGTGCCAAGCAATCTCTTTGCGATAGAAATACATGTGAGTCGCCAGCATCACTCGAATTATTGGAAATATTCACTCTTACAGAGATCTCAGCATCGGCGCTCTGAACTGAGTAACAACCCACTGAGCAATTCTACGCTCCCAACTTCTTGTATGTGAGAAATAAAGATAAACAAGAATCTCAAGAAAAACATTTCCAGCAAGCAGAAAATTTATCGCAAAATATATAAACGCAAGGATAAATAAAACTTCCCATGAAAAATCAAATCAAATAAGCAAAAAATTATTAGAAAATATATTTTAAATAAACAACTGAGGATCTGAAAAAAAACCTCGTTCTGGAGATTTTTAATCCGTGTTTCATACAACTTCTCCAGGTCGTCACATTTTACTTGAGCTGATTGCAATTTTTCCGAAAGATCTGCAAAACAAAATTATAGGATTGATGAAATGATAACCATTACTACAATGTGCTTTGATTAATGTCGATGCAAAAATAATAACCATACTTAAAAGCATAATTTAAACATCATTGAATAACCTTCAATCTCTGCATTTTTCTCCGAAAGATCGCTTTTAAATGTTGCAATATCATTTGATAACTTTATGCATTCAAGGTCCTTTTCGATTAGAGTGGAAGATGTCCTTAAAAAATAATTGAAAGAAAACTTTTTATAAATCAGTTCTAATAAATATGGATGAAATGAAAATAACACTATTCCGATAAGCACATAAGTTAAAGTTTACTGATCGAATTTCGTTTTCAACTCATCATATCGAGCCTTAGTAAGCATAGAAAATTCTCTTTCACTTTCGTTTTCCTCCAATAACACAGCTTTTTCTTGATTAACCTTAGCTAATCTAAAAATAATGAATGCAAGTAAATCTAGATAAAAAATTTTCTTCCAAAATTTATAAAATTTTCGGAATTATTAAAAATTTCTGTATTATATACTTCAATTATCAAAAAGCAGATAATATAAATAATATAAATATTCGAATGTACGAAAAAGCTCACTCATCAGCTAGAACCTCAGTTTCTGTTGTCTTTGCATCAAAAGAATCCTTCAGTGTTTTATACAGTTGTTCTAATTCTTTCTTTTCTGAACGCAATGTCATTATTAAAGCTCTCGAATCAATGACCTTTTTCTCATGATCAATGATCACTTGACGAAGAGTTTTAATCTGAATTTTTCCAATCAAAAAAAATATTTTAAAGATATTTCTACTAACAAAACATTACTAACTACTAAAAAGCAAACCTCATTGTCATTCACGTCAATATTACCCACTAATCGCAAGCGTTCACTTTGCTTTAGCGATTCATCTTTTCTTGCCAACAAATTTTCCAATTCTTTCTCACGAATCTAGAAAGTGTTGAAGAAATAAATGTAAAAACGGCTAAAATGATCTTAAAAACAAATATAAGAAAGAAACTTCAAGTAATGAACAACAAATTTAGGCTTACTTTTAACAAATTTATTTTACGCTCATACAAGCTGACAATTTGAGAAATATTTGGATCTTTCACCTAAAAAAAATTTCAAGCCTTAAAATAACAAAAACTTAATAATGTTTCCAAATTTAAAAGTAACTTAATAACAAAAATTTTAAATGCCTTTGATCAAAAATTTTACATTACATTAGCAGAAAATAAATCACCATATCATCCGTAATTTTAGATCCAACTTCTTCGATGTTTGCAGAGCTAAGACTGTCTGGCGTCCTTCTTTCACTACCATTAAAAATTCTGTCATCCTTTGCAAAATCCGATTTTAATCTTGAAAAAATTCGAAGATCAAAAATTAATCCAAAATATTATTCCCACCAAATTAAAACTTAAAAGTTAAAAAAAATCAAAAATATTAGAAATTTTTAAAGAATAAATAGTCGACTTACTGCAGCGATTGTGAATCACAAGATCTAGTCAATAACTCATTGGATTTGAAAGACACACAACTTGCAATAAGATCACTTAACCTGGAATTTCTAATAATAGATAAAGCTCTACCACCTTGCTACTTCCAAAATAACACTAATTTCTAAAGCATAATAAAAAAAAGTAAAAATAACCATTTAGTTGGAAATGCATGGACTTGAGCACAATGAGTGTATAAAAGAAGAGCGTCGCAAATCATACGATGATCGCCATAAGCAACTGCATAGGCCACAAATGGAACAAGCCTTTCATCCTAAAAATAAAAGCAAAATTACCTTTTCAGATTCCCACTATTAAACCACATTTTCATTTAATTGAAAACAACCTTCAGAAGTTTCCAATATTGATCCTTATGTAATTTGGAATAATCTTTCAAATCAGCCAATACTTTCAATAATTCTAATACAGTTGTTACCCCATTTGCACTGAAAATTAAATTTTATTTCTAAAATAAAATTATTGAAATTATTTTATATTCTTCTCTTTAGAAAGAAATTATGAAAACATTTGTGAAACTTAGTTTAGAAGGATCTGAAGGGAAAAATTTGTATAGTTTAGAAGGATCTGAAGGGAAATATTTGTATATTTATATATCATCTGACCTCCATTCCGCAAGTGGTTCAATTCGTTGAACTACGGGACGACTCATAAATGCGACTACTGGATTTGAGATCATTTGTGATTCAACGAGATGGGAGCATAAAGGAGCAGAAACAACATCCAAAATATCAGATCGCATTTCATCATCACTAGCAATAACTAAAAATAATATAACAAATGAGAACTATCGGAAAAATAAAAAAATAAAAATATAAAGAAAATATGAAATTAATAGGATAAAAAATATATTCATGCTTATATTAAAAAGTAAAAAACGATATCAATTTAGAAAATTAAAAATCAATTCAGAAGTGAAAACGAAAAGAAAAAGTGAAATTTTCTGCAAAGTGAAAATTTTCATTCACACCTCCAACCAATCGAAGACCTTCATTTATACGATCACACTGAAACGCTACATATTGACTGTTTGTCTCAACGGCTGTTTTCAGACAGTCTTCAACAAGAGTTAAAATGATTTCATGCGGAACATAATTCTGTATATGGTCACCACTTTCAATACATTCCTGAATTATGCATACATGATTAAATATGATTAAAGAAGAGAAAAGTTACGAATTCAAAACCAAAAAACAACCTGTAACAAATATCGCAGAAGTCGAATAGCCTTAAGAGGCACTTCTGGCACAATAGCATCAATAAAGGACATCTGTGAAGTGGAGCAAATAGATCGAATTGGTGTAGTAAATCGCTGTTCTGTTGCAGGAATTTTTAAAACAGCCAAAGCTGTTGGAGAAACTAATTGCGGAAGAGAACAAAATGATAAAAATATATCATATATCTGAAAATAATAACAAATAGAATAAAAACTTCGCCAAAAATTTTTCAGAAGTCAAATTTCACGCAAAAAAAACAGAAATATTTAAGTTAAAGTAAATAAAAAAAACTTTTAGTGATTCTTCAGATTTCGGATCCATTTTCACAAATAAACCAGCTAACATCTCAATAGAATGTTGAAAAAATGAATAACTTGTAAGATCTTTGCCCATTGCGGTGATTTGAGGAGTGGAAGAAACCTAAGAAATTCCATTAAATATTTTATTATAGTAATATATAACAATATTATTGTATATTGATTTTACAAAAATTATTGTCTTGTAAAAAAATTCAGCAGAAAAAAATTGGAAACTATTTTCCTTCTATTAAAAGTGAACTTGAGGATATAGAGGAAGCTGAAGAGAGATATGAACTAATGAAGAGATAGGGCGATTTTAGTTACGCAAAAAAGATTTCTTAACCATGTTTTAAATTGAATAAACTAATATAAAAACTGAAAATGATAAAAATCAAAAAAAAAAGAATAAATAAGAGCAGTCTCATGCCTCATTTTTGAAAAAAGTTAACGAGCAAAGTTATGTTAAATAATAAAATTAACCGTAGGGATGTCGCTAACAACAAGTCTTTTTAAAAGATCGGCTGCAATATGCCGCGTCATTAAACAATCACCAAGAATTAGGACGTTAAATACGCATTGAAAAGTCTGTGGAATATTACGAGAACGGAAAACCTTAAAAATACATTAAACTTTAAAAAATACATTATCATTAGTGAACATTAGATCAACAACAGAAATAAAAGAAATGAAAAGATTTTTCATTTTTGGCCAAATATTAGTGACCATTCTTTTAATACTTCTCAGTAAAGAATTTATAAATCTACAAATTATTATAAATCTAACTGTATCTCGCAACCTTTCTTCCAAATACCCAACAAGAATCAAAGAGGAAACAACAACCATCCGAGAATCGTGAGCAAGCAATTTTAATATTTTTTGACTGAAGGCTTTATAAGAGCTCTGCAAAAAAAAAAGAAAAGCTTAAAGCTTTCATTCAAGAAAATACAAAGAAAAACAAACGAATATTGGTTTAAGTTCCGATCAAATTTTTTGAAAATTTCATACTGAATTTCTTATCCGCTGACAAACTGATTTTGATCTTGAAGCCAAATTACATAAAATCGCAGTGCAATATGGCATCCATTCTGGTTCTTCATCTCCAATTCTAAAAAAAATTTAAACAAATCTATCGATACAAATCTATCGAAAAATAAAAATTTTCGGAGCGCACTTTTTTCCGAATATATTGTTTAAAGAAGGCTTTAAATGGTGGAAAAGAAAACAAAAAAAAGAAAATAAAGCTAACATTTCAGTTAAAAGAAAAGAAATCAAATCGTTCGCCCAAACACCAAGCGATAATGAGCGTTCATAAGTCAAAACCTTGAAATATATTTCAAAACTTTAATAACTTATATATATATATATATTACAAATTTAAAAAATAAAAAACATAAGTTATGAAAATTCTTGGACGGAAATTTTTTTCACAGCAACAGCAATATAAATAGTGAATAAATAAAAATGATTGATAAAAAGTTGCTACGAACTTGAATGAGGCGTAAAATATCTATAAGATTCTGTGGACCGAGTTGATTTAATAAAGAAATTTTTAAAACATCAAATATATATCCACATAACTGAATTGATTCTCCAGCTAAGTATTTCCGAATTGGCACATTATAAAAGACTAAAAGATAAGAAAAAAGATAAAAAATTGATTAAATAACAAAAATGAATGATGAAAAGAGATGAGATGTAAAGACAGTTCCACATTGTTAACCGCCAAATAATTCTCAGATCTAAAATTTAATAAAGGAAATCAAAAATTGAGAAAGAACAAGCGTACTTTCTCACATCTTAACATAGAAGCAGTAATTTTCATGATGAATAATAAAAATATTGAAATTGCTAATTAAGGAATAAATTGATGAAACTAATTTTTCAAGTAAGAATAATTAAGAAAATGTCGAAGCAAACTCAATCAGAAAAGGAAACAACACTTTTCTTTTATAAATTCTTAAAATTCTTTAATAATGAATCATCAATTATATCTGTCATAAAATTTCTATTTGGCTTTCTGTAATGTGTGCTTTAATAATAAAATAGCGACATAAAATAGGAAATGATAAAAATATTCCATAAAAAAATCAACCAACCTAGATTGAAAAGAAAAAGTATAAGCCGTGAACGCGTAACTGCCGATGTTGTTTTTCTTCCCAATAAAGTAGTAGAAAAATTAAGTAACTCATTAAAATTTACATTTTTCACCGATAACCGCGCTGTTGGGTCGATTTTTGATGTAATTAATATAAGAGTCTGCAAAAGATGTGTAAATTATATATATATATATATAAGGTACTATGCTATGTGAATCTTCTAGCAGGAGAGTGGCGTAATACGCTGCAAGGTTCGTACTAGAAAAACGGCACACTTCATTTGTGATAAACACAATAAATATATCAAATATATCAACATAACACAATAAATCTTATGAAAATTATCAATAATACTGTTTTTTTAATATTAAATTGCCTTGAAAATCAGCTAAAAAACAGTCAAAATTAAGAAATGGCCATTCCCACAAAACTTACTCTTATCCAATTATTATAATTTCCAAACTTTTTAATTTTTTAAATATCAATAAATTCGATTCCTCGAGCAATACACGAACTCAACCAATAATTCTTAAATAAAAAGCGAAAAAGTATAACCGCATTTCTGGCTGGACCGTATATGCGGTTGATTATTTCTCATGATACAATATTCCATATAATATCTACTTTGTTCAAAAATCTTCTCTTAATTCTGAAGCATCATTATAATTTTATCTCCTCACTCTTTTTTCCTATCTGCTCTACAGAACGAAGAAAATTTGGATTGATGGTTGAACTAAAATTCGACGAATCCTACATCTTTCACGAAAGGATCGTATTGTTACTAAAAGAATGATGATTTAAGACTTGAAATTGATTAATATACAAAAGCTAAACCTTGCCTTCCTGTGCCTTCCAGATACTCAAAACTTCCCTTAAAAAAAAAGAAAAAATCCTTACGGAAAGTTCATTGTTCAAAGTCGCCTCATTATTTTCAGTAGGAGAATTGTAAAAATGACGAGCAGCAAGAACGGCCGATGACAACGCTGCATCTAAAGTGTCATGCATCTGAAAAATTGCTTTTTTTAATTTTGTAAATATCATTAAATACCGATTGTCATTAAAAGCGAATTCTTCTATTAAATTCCAGGCGATCAGAAAAACTTATAGAATTCAGAGTTTTTGGTTCGTCATTTTTTCTTTTTTTCTTATCGATAATTTACCGATCGATAATTTATCAGTTAAAAATGAAACAAAATATCGATGTGTATTTATAAAAATACTACAGAAAAAATAAAAAAACGAAAAAACAATAAAAAAAGTGTAAATAAAATTTTAAAAATGTAAACAAGAAACCTGCATTTGTTTGAATAACCGATAAATAAATTTAGCGAATGGATGAAGAAAACTCACGTTTTACACGAATAAAACAAGGCCCAAACTCGAATAACCAAGCAACAACAAATGGTACTACGACACCCGCCTAACGACCCCCCTCCAGAAAATTCAAAATAGAACAAAAAAATTTGAAAAATTTCACAGATTCTACTGCAAAAAAACAATCGTTTTGAGGTTTTAAAAATATTTTGCAGCTAAATATTTCCAAATCGATCAAAAAAAAGATTAGGAAGAAATTTTCTTTCTCATGACTAAATAATTTATTTTCCATTGAATATTATCATTGATAAAACAACAGAAATTATCAATTTTGCAGCAAATTATCTGCAATAATTAATTAATTTTGCTCGAAAAATAATCAATCTTATCAGCGGAAATTAAAAGAACTATGATATATGATATGGAATTGGGGTCTGAATTTTTTCTCTAATATGTATAAAAGGAAATATATCGTATACAAAAATGAAGCAAAATAAAAGTTACTTTTGAACTGATAACGATAATGATAATGGTGATGATTTTATTCTAGCTTAAGATCTTTCGGCTGGCTTGTCGGAAAACTAGGCGAATTTCTGCCGGAGAGCCACTTGACAGAGGTCAACGAACTTCCCGAACTTTAGATTGTGGCCACTCCAAACGAATATTCTAAAAGAAATAAGCCATTAAACCATTGAGCCACTCTATCACATAGTGTTATGTAAACTTATAGTTAAATTCTCGAGTCTTTTGAGAATGGAATCGAGAAATAACCGATCCCCGTGTGTTTCTCTTAAATCTATGTTAGATTATTTTCAATGTTTGCAAGTAGATTCTCCTTCTAACGGTGATCATCATTAGATGCTTAGCTGAACACAGTTAAAGGCCTATCACCCGAGAATAACTTGCAGAAAAGAGTGGGTCACCGCCATGCAATCCTCTTTCGCCCACTGGGATTTGTTTTCCAGCGATAGGCTTAGGCACATGGACACAACCCAATTTGTTGCTTTCAACCGACTCAACCACCAGAAGATTGTTTTATTTTGATGTGAAGGACTTGAAAAAAATTTTTTACGAGCTATCGGGCTAAATGTCATTTAGAAAAAAATGCAGAAAAATGGAAAGAACTAAATAAACATGTACAACTATAAGAAATTCATATCATCGAATGTTTTGAAGATTTGCAAGTAAGTTGGGTAAACACGAAAGGGCTTTCAATATATTTCAAAATAAATAAAAGAATGCAAAGAAATTTTTATTATTTGCAAAATTTTAATGAAGATCCCCAGTATACGGCTTTACGGGTTTTATACTACACGATTCACACTTTTGCACCTTTTTTCCGTCTATTAAAAATTCCCATTGCTTAAAATTCACTGGCCATTTGGCCATATCCGACCACTTTCTGAGAATACGAGATATTTCTCAGAAATGAGGTGGATTATAAGATCTACGTTAGTTACTTTCGGAGAATTTTTCAATCATTTAGTCTTAAAATGTTAGGCTACGGTATATATGCCACGCCAATGTCAAAATTGGCTAAGTAATGAATAAAATACAATATATGCTAAGTGATTCAATGCAATAATTGGCGATAAGATTTTAAAAAATTATTTTAATTTAGCTTTGCAGGTAGATTTAAGTAATATTGCTTTAGGCGGGAGACTTCAGACTTTTCTTTGCAAAGCTTTAGGCTAAAATTTCAAAATCATAATATTTGCATTTGCATTATACTCAACGTTTGTTAAATAATATTGTTAAATAATATTTTATAAATATCTATCATATTCAATTTCTTCGAATTTTCAAAGATTCTAAGATTTTTCAAAGGTTTATATTAGTTTTAACTTGCAACTAATCCGAGAATTCGGATTTAAAATGGATGTAAAAAGTGTTTATTAGTATATAAACAAAGATGTGCTGCTATCGAACTATCGGAAAACTAGTTTTGAACGAGGATAATTGTTTACGAGATAATTTTACTTTTTAAAGATTTTTCTTTTATTCTTAACCATTCAAATAGCCTTATTGCAGGAGTAAACCTGTACAAAAATCCGGATGATGCTGGCGACTCACCTGTATTTCTATCGCCAAGGGACTCTCTGGCATATGGTCTCAATGCGACAAGCCAGTGGAGCGAGTTTAACCAGTAATGGGGAGGACTCTTTAAAAAAAAAATAGCCCTATTACTTATGCAATCACTGGATTTTGCTTAGAATATAACTTGGAATATTGAAAATATGAAGTATAAAAATTTTTTTTAAGTGTACTCCACCAATATATAAATAATGCTGTCAAATCTTACTTATACTATGTTATGAGTCGCCAATATCACCCGGATTTTTTGGACAGGCTTACTTCTGCCGTGAATAAAATCTCACCATCGGCACTCCAAACTAAGCAATAATCCACTGAGCTATTCTATTCTTCTGCAGGATTATTATAAGAAAAACTGATTAAATTATGGAATTGAATCATTATTAATTTAAGCAATACCAAAATGGTTCAATTTTAATAACGAAGAATAAATTCATATACAATTATTTTGTTGTTTTTTAGTGTTTTAAGATATTGAATGAATACAGCCAAAAAGCGTTTCTCGTTCAAGTTGGCCCTACTGGCTACTGGACTGAGGTAAAGAGATACTTAGAAGAAGTGAGGTCGACCTTCATCATCATGCGAATTTCGCTTTTAATGACAGATTTATTACCGTTAAAATGGAATAATCAAATTTCAATAAATCACTTAATTATTCCAATTTATGGAATTTATTATTTCTTTTTTTGTTGTTAACCAAAACACTTTTAATATTTAATATTTATTTTTAATATTTATTCGATAGATAATGGATACATCTTCAAGAATACCTATAAGTTTTAAGGTTTAAGTTTTTCTCAGAATGAATTCATCCTTAAACGAAATTTCGCCTTAATTACATTTACTTAAATAATCTCGATTAATTAGTAATAAATATTTTTCAATTAATTATTTTATCGCTGATTATTTATAAAAAAGATTCTTATTTCGCTTTAAAGCTTTATTTAGCAATTCTTCTTGATTTCTCCTATAGTTCTTCGAAATATTTATTATTAATAGTTTAAAATTTTGATTAAATAAATTTTGATATGATTATTTTTAAATTTAATATAGCAGTAAAAAATAATAAAAATGATGAAAAATAATATTAAAATAATATTAATACAATAGAATGTAAAAAATTAATAAATAATACAATAGAATGTAAAAAATTAATAAATAATAAATAAAAAATAATTAATAATAGTAAAAATAATAATAAAAATTAGAGAAATTGATTAAATTAGTTGTCGAAAGAATTGAAATTATTTTTAAAAAAAAAGTTTGTTAACGATTTTTATTTAAATATGCACTAATTTAATTGAAATGAAAATAATAAAAAAGGAATTTCGTTGCTAGGCTATATTTTTTATTACTTCTATAATACATTAATTAGTGATTATTTTTGGGAAACTTTTAATTTTTTTCTCGTTTAATCCTTAATATTATTATTAAACGTTATTTAATTTTTTTCTATTTTATTTCAAAATATTAATTAGAAGGAATTAGAATTTCACTAAGAGAACATGAAAACTGTTGCTTTTTAATTTTTTGTTTTCTCACCTAATTTTTCGCCAGTATTAAGCAATATGTTGCGCAAAGATATTTGCCAGATATTGTAATTAATATTTATCGAAATGATGTTTGCCAAGGCAGAATGCCATTAAGCGCCTTATAATACTATTAAAATATTGAGGAAAAATGAAATTTGCAAAAAGAAAAATAAAAATTCAACTTTATTTCTAAATTTCAAAATTGAATTTTAAGCGATAATTTATTGAAATATAGTGTTTTAATTGGCAAAAATTTAAAATTTTTTTAGTCTTACAATATTCAGTTGACTTAACTGATTGACTTAACACTCACTGATAAAAGCGAAAGATGAATATTGCCACAAATTTTTTAATGATCGCTATCAAGATCGAAATTCTAAAATTGTCAACTTTTTGGATTGACATTGATTTATGCCTATCATTTATCAAATAAATTCTATTTTCTCTATTTCTAATTCTGATTCTATTTTCATGAAGAATCTTTTAAATTTGAATATTATATAGCGAAAAAATTTATAGTAGAAAGATAGAAATTAAGCGATAGTTATGAAAATTTTAGGCTTTCAGGCTTTAAATCTATTTCGATTATATTTATATTTATATTATTTATATTTATATTATTATTTATATTTGATTATATTTATATTTGACTTTTTTAAAATATGCAATATTTCTAGTTTGATTGCCTTTATCGACAATAGCATAAGATCTTTTCACCAGAAATTCGTTTATAGATATACGTGGATCGGCGATAATTACTAGAAAGTCTCTTTTGAGATTTTCTCTTCCCTAGTGCGGGAATAGAGTCCTTGCAGTATGCCTTTAATCGGAATAAAAGAAGTAGCTAGCAAGATTTGTGCAAACAAATTTAAGTGGCCTTATATGAATTCTGATTGATTGGAAACTGTGGTACTATTTCCAAAGAGGTGACTCGATAATGAAACTTTTAAGATTTTTGCCTGATGATTGCATAAATCACTTATTGTTTCCTTTTAATGAGCATTTTATATAAGTATTTGTTCCGATGGGAATTGAAAACGGTTGCTTTAGCGTATCGATTGTCTTCATTAGTCTCAATATACCCCCTTAAAATCAGTTTAAAAGCCACATCTGCAATTTGTTTCTTTATTTTATTTTCAAATAATTTTTATTCATTCACTACTTTATTCATTAAATCAACAAAATTCCCAATTTTTATTTTTCTCCATATCGATTTTAGTTTTTCGAAAAATTTTAGCTTTTTATTTGTGGCTGAAGTTTCTCCACTGGTTTTAAGGTGAGAAATTAGGAAGTCAGCTTTAAAGAAGCGAGTGCACGGGTTTCTTAACAACAGGAGGTTCACTTCTGCCGTGGATCTGAAGCAGGCACTTCAAGTGATGATTCGAATAAAAACCATTCTGTCTCTTAATTCCTTAAGGGAAAAAAATAAAAAATTGAAATTTCTTCCTTCAATTCATCTTCCTTCAATCTGAGCATTCTAATTATTTCAATAGTACATAACCTGGATATGACATCGCAAAAAAAATAGAATAAAAGCAGATTAGATCCATTTTATTTCCTTTAAGGTAGCATGGCTTCGATTCCTTGTGAGAAGAGAATGAATATCCCATAAAATTCATAGTGCTGTTGAGAACCAATCTACATATCCTCTGGAGAAAACCTCAGGTTTCCAGCAATTTGTGTGCAAGTATGGTACAAAAATGAATTTTTTCATAAATTTTTCCAAAACCTTTTTGAATGTAATGTTTACAGTGTAAATTTTTTCTATTATTTTTCCTCTTCTAATTCAATAAGCTTTATCGATGAACAAACATTGAACAATGTGAAGCTTGACTGAAGTAAGTAAAGACTTACTTCACTAATTATTCTTTAAAGTGAAGTGAATTTTTCAGAATATTTCTTGAATAAGGTTTTTATTTTTAATTTCTAAAATTTATGCAAATACTTTCAAATTTGCGCAGTTATCATAAAGCTTTTTCATGAAGCATGACTAAAATGCTTTTAAAATTATAACTTTTATTTGAATTTTAAATATCTCGATGAATCTCGATGATATTTGTTTTCGAGAAAAACCTTCTTAATACATATATATGCGGCATTCCTTAATGGTGTGGTGCATGAACTACCTGGTGTCCACTTGGTGAGAGGATTTGAGAGGTCCTTGAAGATATGAAAATTCTTAATCTGGCTTATATGACGCATTTTCTTTTAAGTGTATTTTTAATCTAAAAACCTTTCGTTTCTGCGCCGTGATTATGGTTTCTAGAATATATATGTAAGGATCTGAACCTTGTTAACTTTAAATATGACGAATTGTTATGCCAATGGTGAAACTACTGATATAGAACAACAGATGAAAAATTACCTCAAAATACCTTGAATCAGAATGCCATAGCTTATATTGCAAAACTTTTAAGACCTTAAAGTTAAATAAGCGCCTCAGTGATGGAAAAATATGACGAAAAATTTTCATGGAATATACGAAGAATTTCATAAATTTACGAAAAAAGTTGTTTAAAATTGTTTAATTTGCAAAATTTTTGTTATGAAATTCTATGATCAATTGTTAATGAAAAAATTTATACAAAAAATTTATTGAATTCCCAAAATTTTAGAAATGGAAATGGACGACGCCGAATGTATTCAACTTCAGTTGGAACCTGAAAATGTAAGTATGAAATTGAAGACTTTCTCTTCATTTTTTAAAAGTTAACAACTATAAATTTTAAAATTAAAAACCATTTTGTTTTTTATTATTTAAAATTAAAATATTTCTTCGAAAATATCTATGCAGAAAATTATATCATTAATTATGATTTTTATATTTATACTTCCAAAATTTCACTGCAATTTACCTGCCAAAGTTATTTCACCTTCTTCGCCACATTAATGGTTAGGCTGGCTCCACTGGCTGACTACAACTATATGCTATTTCCAAGTCACTTGATCTGGTACTATACTTAACAAAAGCCCCTTTCCACTGCCTAAACCGATATAACCTTAAACCTTTCAAAATATTTGCTAGTATTGTTTAATGGTTTTAGTCTCATTTTCAAAGCCATTTCGAATAAATAATTTCATTTGTTAATATGATTTATAATCCAATAAATAATAATCGAAGCAAAACTATAATCTATTATCGAAAAATATTAAATATCATTGATCATTAATTTAATAACCGAAAAAAAATGTGAAAAAATATTTATTCACTAATTTTCCTTTATAAAAGATTTTCATTTTAATAAAATTAATAAAATTTAGTAAAATAATTTTAAAAAATCGATGGAACAAAGAAAATTATATAAAATATAAATTTACAAATATAAATGTAATTTATATATAAATATAAATAAAAAAGGACTTTTAAAATTTTCTAATTCGACTAATTATAACATTTTTTTTAAATCTAATATTTTTTAAAAAACCAATTTTATAATTTAATGCAATTGAATGAATTGCAGTTGCAGTGCAGTAGCTTATCACCCGATTTTACACAAAAATTGCTGCAAAGACCAAACAAACAAGAACAAAAACCTGAAAAGAAAATCGTAAAATTGCGAAAAATCTCGAATAGTTTTACCTATACAGCTTTATCGCATAAAAGTGAAGCAAATAATTTTAATGAAGAAGCAGATGGTGGTAAATTCAGTGAATCTGAAAGGTAAGTTCTTTTTTAATTTCGTGGATTTAATTCAGCTCAGATTTCGCCTTCTAAATATTCCTTATTTTGCTTCTTTTCATTAGACTAGGGCTTTCTTGGCAGCAATTGATAGTTGGAACAAATGCAGAATGCAGCCTCAGACAAATATAAATTTTACTGACATTGACACGATGGTCGAATACCTTACTTTAAATGAAGTCGTGAAAGATACTATTGCTGCTCCTTAGGAGTTATCACTGAATCAGTATTAAAATCTTGATGGTGCAAATTTTGTTTTTCCATTGTCGAGTGAGTGATTTGTTACGAGGTGACAATCCTATAAAAATAAGAAAATAGCTTCACATATTTTAAATTTTGTTTTGGGAGGAAAACTGAATATATTGGAATTAAAGGCTTAATTTTCCATATTTTCATATTTTTTGCGTTAAAAGAAAAAAATCCGTGAAATGAAAATTCTTGTATTTAATGTGCAAAGTGAATATTTCAGAACGAAATCACGAAGCCTTTCATCGGATAGGCCCAATAGTCCGATTTTATCACCCCCTGTTTGTACTTCCGCGAAAAGCAAAGAAGCAGAGGCTTTTTTGAATTTTAGCGAGCGAATAAGTTCGTTGATAAATTTAAAAAAGAGAACTTTTTAATTTCGCACTTTAATTTCCGCACTTAGAATTGGAATAGTTAAAAATGCAAAATTGTTAAAATAGTGTTTTTGATTGTTTTTCATTGTCAATTTGTTGTTTTGTTGAAAAGCTTTAAATATTTTTACTGTGGTTTTTATACCCAAAATTTAATTTAAAATTAATATGTAAAAATATAAAATGAGAAATTCTCCGTAGAAAAAAAATGTGATATTTTTTATTTAAATTTATTTATTTATTTAAAAAATAGCGCTAATAAACTTCAACTTTTGAAAATTTCAAGAATTTGAATTTCTCTAAATTTTCTTTCTTATTATTTGTAAATTATTTATTGACAAACTTGCAAATTTTATATATAAAATAAAATAAAAATTATTCGCCTATTAAGGTGTAAATAAAGGAATTGCAAGAACTGAAACTCGTTAATCGCATCAAAAAAAGGAGATTATTCGTTGGATTCACTATTTTTTATCGAAAAATATTTCTATTTCTCGAGAAAGCCTTACATTAACTTGTAAAGTAATTTAAGCGAAAATAGTCAAAGACAATTAAAAATAAATTGTCATATGCCATATGTGACTTAATGTAATTATACTATTTGGTAGTAAAGCACAAATTAAAATTCTATTGACAATTTTCCTTTGTTTAATTAAGGAGAACTTTAGATTTATAATAATCGCAATTTATATAACAAATATAATAGAATTCCCACGTGGCATTATTGAAATAAATATAAATACGAAAGCGAAAATATATATAAAATATAAAATGCAAAAGCCATCCGCTTCTGGTGACCCTTTTCAAATATGCACAAAGCGGCGTGTCGTTCTTTGAACCAATATTACGCCAAAAACTTTATTTGAGGAAACTTTTTGCATTTCTACTTTCTCACGACATTCCGTAAGATTCTATTTTTGCGTCGACATTATCGGCTTATCAATCGAATGATAGTAAATGTGAAAATATATAAGTCGAAAATCAGTTCCATTCGAGTCGATCATTGCTATGATTTATTTTATTCTTATCTTATCCACTTTCCTTAATTCCCAATGCGTATCGTATGATAAAAAAATTGATTTCTGGATTGAGTTAGAATTGAAGCGATTAGAATGGATACGCGGTTGTCTTAATACAGCAGACTGTATAAATCCTCGTATTGTGATAAGAAAAACAAATCTTCTCAACAATGAAGAGTTATCTATCAGTTGGAGGATTACTGCATATACTGTTAAAGTAAGCCTTTCTCGAAAAATCTCTGAACAACCCACTTTCAGTTAATAATATATATAATTTTAAATTGCTCGTAAAAATAAGTAATCGAAAAAACTATTGGCTGCTCAAAAGTTTTGTGCCCAGGTTGTTAATTTTAGCTGGGAGACAAATTGCTTGGTGCTCATACCTTATCAAAATTATTTCCTGGAATAAGCTACCGTCGGAAGTGAACCTTCAACCTTCGTAATATCTATCTTTACGAACAAACTGAAGACTAAGTAAATTATACGGTATAATTCACCGTCGAATGGCCAGAATATGAAAGACGACGACAACAAAAAAAAACAAGTGATGGCTATGGATAGATAGCCAATGCGGAAAAACGACAAAATATTACACTTATTTTCTGCATCAATCCATCTAAGCTAAAAATAAGCCAATATAAGAAGCGCTGATGGCTCAAGAAAGGAGATAAAATTTTTTCGAATCCGAAACCTGAACAACAATGAAAAAATAAGCCGACTTCAAAAATTAGCACCGTTCAGCGGCAATTAATATATTTGTTCTTTAAAGAAATATTTTATTTGTTATGCCTTTCTTATCTAATCTCAAATTTCTTAAATTTCATATGGCAGTTAATTCTATTAGAAATTTATAATGCCTTAAGGCAAAATTTGCCTTTAGGGACAGCCTAATACGGCCTAATTTTTGCGCTACTGTACATAGCTACATTTAAATTTATTTAATAATTTATATGTTTAAAAGTTTCTTTTTTATATTTGCCTCAGGATAATATTTAGGATAATGCTCGTCCATTCATTAGCCACTGGACAAAAGGTGAACCATCAGATATCGTTCTCTCTTGCGAAATTGTTGGATTAGACCCGATAAATAAGTCTAACCGAACATGCGATTCAGCAAATGCAAATAATACAAGATTGATAATGAATTCATCTGAAAATGTCGATTTTCTCGTTCGAACTGAGGGGAGTTGTTTTACTGCGATATTTTCAATTGCAAAACATACTAAACTTTGTCCATGGTGTGCTAGCGAAGCTACTAAAACTGAGGTTAATATTTTTAATTTTTCATGTTCTCATTAAACTTTGCTTAACTTTGTTATGAAAATAATTTTAGATTTTAAATAATTTCTTTTCATTTCAGAAATCCCTGGAAAGAAGTAGCGCTTGTATCGAAGAAAAAGTTAAAAAAATCTTGGCAAATTATTATCAATATTTTTTGATAATATTGCTATTATTAACACCAATTTGGTTTTATCTTTATAGCTGAAAATTTTCAGTCCTCTAAATAATTCGTCTAATTTGAGTTTTCTTAGCGAACAGATTTTCGATTTCATAATTTAACCTGGCTTGGCCTTAGCCAAACTACAATTAGCAAAAACCATGATTAAATGGTATTTGTTGCTTACATTGGACTATTGGTATATTCTGCGGTTCGTCCTATTATTATATATGATAGAGTCTACACAAAATGTTGAGCCTTATTAACTTCCATGTTATCATTTGTGCTGATTTACTGGATATAAAATTTGTTAAGTGGTGTGCTAAAGAAGAATAGTATCCTGGAAGATTATAATTCTTTTGTAACGATGAGGATTATAACGATACAATATTTTAATGTGGACCAATCTCCATAAATTATATTCTACTAATACCAAATAATTGCTCAATTTAGTATATAATTTTTGTATGATATCAATAAATGCTTGATCTTCGTACAAGTTGTACCTATTTTAAGGACTAAGGATTGGCTTTGACAATTTGACAAGAATCTGTTAATTTTTATGAAATCTATGAAATTTGCGAGTAAATGAATAGGTTAAATGTTGCTAAAACATCGTTATTTTGGATGAAGAACATTTCTACTTTTCTATTCTATTTGTTTATTTCCCTGTTAATCTATATCAATTAATATAAATAATATAATCTTTCGATATAAAAAAAGGTTAATTTTAATCGAACTTTTCTTATGTTTTTATGCATTTTGTTTATCGTTGATTGTTTTTCTCGCAAATTAATAAATCTTTGATTATCGCTTATCAGTTTATCAACAAAATTTTACTTGCTTTTCATTAACTCGATAATTATCCAATCTTTCAATTCACCTTGTCATTTGGAGATGGAAATAGTTGAGTAGTCAGCATTTTTAACTACCGATTTATTCCTGGTGGAAATGAGAGCCTAACTACTGAATAACGATGATCCGAACTGTAAACCACTTGGTTCTTCTATTTTCTAATTAAAAGTGCTAGGAGAAGGTGAAAAATTCTCATTGATAGTTCGATAACTTGAAAATTCATGGACTAAAAGTGATCCTCTCTGGAGCATAAAAAATCAGTAAAACCGCTCAATTAAGGATATCTGAAGCAATTTCTTTTCTTGATCTGAATATCAGCACCTTATCTAATTCCACCATGATTAGAGTACTTCTTGACTCCTAGAAATTCTCCTAGAAATCTGTTTAGAAGAAAAGTGAAAATTTTCGTAGAGCAACCTTGCAGGTTAATTATTTGGTAGTTGTCACAATATCTTTTATTACCTTTCTTAAGAATTGCCCATAACAATATATTCTTATATTCTTTGAAGGAGATTGGATAGGCTTATCTAAGCAGGTCAACTTAATAATTTGTTATTTTTTTTAATTTCTAAAAAATAATTTATTGCTCTTTTAGCAGTTTTCAGTTGCAATCATATGGTTTAAACTGCTTTGGCGATAGACGCCGCGTCATGGTTAATTTTCGTCTCAAAGAAGTCTCAATCATCACTTTCTCAGCGCTTCCTAAGCTATGGTTGTTTCATGAAGGCAAAATATTTCTGATTTTGAATCTAGTTGCAGTATTCTAATAGCCAGAAGTTCTATTAGATCTGCGATATCTGTGATGTCCTATTTCCATTCGAATAACACTAGCTGATAAAATATTTGATAGGAGTAGAGTCCAAGGGTAATCCATTGTTTTCTACTATTCTATACGCTCATATCTAATCCCACGCGCGGTTAATACGGCATTGCTTTTAGAAAGGATGCCGTTGATAGAGCGAAATCTATATAGAATCTAGCCAAGTTATCCAGATCATTCACGTGCAATTTAGGAGTAGCGGCATCACCGTAAATATTGTGGAACCTGGTTTAAAAGAAGACATTTCGATTGTTAGCAAGTTTTCCTTATTCTGATCAGATTCATACGAATGATCGTTCCTTTTGGCATATGAGAATTACAAGTCCAGACTGGCCTGAAAAACCAAAACGCCACTGCAGCTATGCATAGATGTATCTATGACAGGGAAGCGATGCTCTTGGATTGTGGACTGCTATCGCCTAATTGCCTATATTCATAAGCGTTCTGATATTTTAAAAAGTTCACCTCGTGCGCATCTAGCTTGACGGTTGTTAGACTTTTTAAACGGAGTTAAAATAGTCCCTTCGAGAGCTTAAACCTTTATTCCAAGCTTGATTCGCATGTTCATATTTCACATTCACTGCATGATGGGAGATGCCTTGCGTATCGGAATAGGCAATCGCCGAGCTACTTTACCATTTCGCCAGCGAACCTTTCTGCCACGAAAAGCAAAACTAATTTTGAATTGCAAAATATTTTTTTTATTTTATTTAATTCAAATTTTCTTGAAAAGATGTAAAAGATGAAAAATAGTGGAAATAAAAATCATTTATAAAAAATAATGGACGACCACCCGCCGGTGAAAATTTTCCGATAATTAATTAATTCACCCGTTGACACGTTGATGATTGCTAAATTCATTACTTCACCGAGACTATTGGCCTTGTCTCGCGCTATATTTTGTTCCATGGCCTAAGGTTTTAGCCTGTAGATTGCCGGTTGATTTCATTAAAGCAGAATTTAATTTATCTACAGATTATTTGGAAAAGTACAGCTGTAGCTTTTATACGAAATTTTTTCTTTATTTCGTCCTTTCTTCATTCCCCCTCTCCGTCTTTCCTTCTTCCATTTATTTGCCTTATTTTGCCACCAATATTTTGCTGTTTATGTTTTATCATACTTTATAACTTTAAATTTTATCTACCTAAAATTTATGAGTAAATTTAATTTATTATAATGAACAAAATGTTCATTATTGCTTTAGATGAAAAATATGAAAAAAAATAAAAAAATAAAATAACAGTAAATCAGTAGGGAGAAAGTGGAAGAGCGCGTAAGAGTGGTTCAGTGAATTATGGTTCTACTCCCTCAGGAATACTTTTATTTTTAAAAAATCCAGATGGTACCAACTACCTGTCTTTGAAGCAAGCAACTCTTTGGCAAAAGTTGTCAAACCGGCAGATAAGTGATAAAACAATAAATATTCGTAAAAAATTAACGGATAGCCTAATTTGCATGGAAATTCGAATAAAAAATATTCTAAAGATGTACATATCGTAGAATTGTATCATTTACCATGTAATTTAGTATAATTTAGTATTTAGTATAAAATCTGAAATTCGACTATTTGGCTAAGTAGTCGCAATCATAATGAAGTTAAATGCAAGATTGTGTGTGAAACATTTACAAAACTAAATGGTCCTATAATAACTTAATGATTTGGTTACAACTGAAGATTTTCCACGTTCGGCACATCCGTCAAATCACATCACCTTGGTGCCTCGAAGACGAATCGCATCATTTTGGTGCCATCAAGTCGAATAGGTTCATTAAATTCAATTGCTTATTTTTATATAATGGTGAATTTTTTTCACTATTTAAAACCTGGAAAGATCGGTTTTTTCTTTAAAAAAATAAATTGCCGTTTTTTTGTCGTTTTTTATGAATTTACGATCAATCATTTATTCGTTATCTCAGGCAAAAAATCGTCTCTAAAAAAATTAATTGTGCATACCGTATTTGCAGTCTGAAGTATTTTTTTGCATGCAAAAAATTTAAAACTTTGAAGAAAAATTTAGTGCTAAATAAATTTTCTTCGAAATTATTACTTTTTTTTTCAAGAAATTTTATTTTAATTTTATTCCATTTTGTAATATTAATTTTTTAATTTCAAAAATTCTGGAAAAAAGATTCTGAAAAAAAAATTCGTCTAAAAATATAGAAATCGAATTTTAATAATTTCCAAATCCATCAACCTTAGAGAAACCATTAGGGATAGGATGACTTAGTGAGTTGTTGCTCAATCTGGAGCGCCAATACTAAGGTTCTATTCCCAGCAGGAGTAAGCCTGTCCAAAAATCCTGCTGTTGATGGCGACTCACCTGTATTTCTATCGCTAAGAAACTCTCTGGCATACTGGTCCAGTCGACAAGTCAGTGGAGCGAGTTTAACCAGTAATGGTAAACTCTTCAAAAAAAAAGAGAAACCAATAGCTATGAGTGAAAAGTCTATATTCGTCAATAGTGCCAAATATTCGCATATCAAATGGAGAATGATAGCTATGCGCTTGAATAATAAAATCATATGCCTAATATAGGAGGAAGAATATGGCGAGCATAGTAGGCAAACATAAATTGTAAGGCTTTTTCAAATAAAGAAACTTAACGGTGTCTTCCATCTTTCGTTTTTATTACTCTTAGTTTCTTGCTTGGCGAGTTCCACTGAAATGAGAAGAAAGCTCTCGCCAAACGGAATCATTCATTAAGAAATTTTAATTTTGAAAAATATTTTCCCCAAGAGCGCTCAAAATTTCTGCTTAGGCGATTTCGCCTCAGAATTAGCTGGAGATAGATGAATAAGCATATTCCTTAATTAACTACACTCCACTTTTAATGATAAATTCATTCTTGCCAACGGATGCGATGGAATGCAGATAGCTTATTATTAATCAAAAGTAGCCATGCGATATTGCAAACTCAGAATAAATGCGAGAAACATTTAAATTTTAAATTTATTTCCTTTTCACTATTTAGTTACAATAAAAATAATGATAAGCATAGTAAAAATAATATAAGAATAATGAAAATATTCATTTCTTTTATAAAAGCAACAATAAAAATCTTTCGAGAAGCTGGAGAATTTGATAATAATTCCATAGCCGATCTATGACTAATAGTGATAAAAATGAACTTAGTGAGTAAAATTAAACCACAAAGAAAAAAAGATAAGCTTTAATCAAAAATATCAGCCAGCTTCGTTCAATGGCTTGAAATCATAAATGCACCCGTAAACGATATAGAAAAAACAAAAAAAATGAATAAATTGACAATGATCAATGTGCTTCGGATCATATTTCGGATTAATTCTTTAGGTTGTAAACAATATAAAACTTTGGTATAGTAAAAAATAAAAACAATTAAAATAATGGAAAAAATATTTAGAGTCTATCAAAATATGAGGCTTATTATTGTTCCGCTTGCATATAGGATGTAAGCATGCATAATTTTTGAACAGAACTTGCAATCTGGCACCTTTATACGAAGAAAGCTTGCATAGACCGTTAATTGCATAGTACATAGTTGGTATGCTGGCAAATTAATTCCATCTTGATTGACCAATAGCTATGTATAACTCTTGGAGAAAAACTGAACTAACATTACAACTAATTTATAAATTCTAATTTAAAAAAAAACAAGGAAGAACCAGTTTTAAAGCAAATCGACTATACAAGCGAAATTCGGTTTCAAACAGATATAAAATCGATCCTTCATACAAATAATGAATAATTTAAATAATTTCAGTTGAAAATTTATTGTTGATAATATTCGCCTCGATGATAATGCGGTTCTCTATAAACATCTGGCAAAGGTGAGATAACCTTACGGAATCCTGGAGCTAAATTTGGATGCGACCGGAGATAAGAGGCTGGTTGTAGCAACACACGATATCGGCTACTATTAGGTTTGATCAACAACACTGCACAAATTAGATAAACTAATACCGAAAAACTAAAAATAAATACTTTCAAATCGCATACATTTTTTTCGAAATTTATTAAAAAATTACATTTATATAGAACCATTTTTTTAAAAAAAATATTTGCTTTTCTACTTCAACTAATAAACCGCTTTTTTGCCGAAAAAATTCTTTTGAAAATTTTGTATAGAGATAGTGATATTAATAACACACCTCGTAGCCAAACAACCGATAAGAAACCATGTTATACTACCATTATGAGTGAAATTACGACAGCTTGTAATGAAAATTGAGGTATCGACTTGATCTGAAGCTGAAAAATATCTCAACATTTCTACCTCAAGAATATTTTCATAGTTTATTGGCTGACAATCATTATCTGAGGTTTTTTACTTTAAACTATAAATAAATATATAAAGATATAAAGATAAAAATTATGTTGAAATAAGAAAAAAACAACAAAAACAACTTACCATTAGAAAGATCATTGTTTGATTTTTGCAAGTCTATAAAACCTTGAGCAGTTGTACTTCCAGCAAAATTAGACAATTTACATTCGTAAACACCAATGTCTCGAAGAAGAAAACGTTTTATTATGAGTGAATTATTCTTTAATAAATCAACTCGGTTCGGCGAGAATCTGATTCGTTCTCCATTCTTTAAATCAAGAATTTTATAGCAATATTAAAATAATTATTAAAATATTTGAAGGCCAAATGAATATTATAAATGAGAATTAACCTACAAGAAAAAAACAGGTTAATCTTTTGCACATCAAGAAAGTTATCTCTGGTAGAAAACATTAAATAGATAAGTACCAAAGTCCATGTCGCATATAATGGAGGAATGCCAGTTGTTTTCGGACAATTAGCGATTAACTGTTCACCAAGATTTGGTGACGATGGATGAAAAGTCAAATGAGTATCATTGGGGAATTCGTCGATATATGCAACATCAAGTTGCACGATATCACTTTCTTGTCCTGTGTCTTCTCGTCGACACCAATAATTACCTTGATCATCTGAAACAAAAGAACTGAGCAATATCAGAAGAAAGTATTCTATAAATTATTGAAAAGATGCTAGAAAGATAAACTAAAATGGATACAAGAATCGAGCTAATCCTATTTCATTCTAAGCCGAAACAATATATCACCCCTATCCATCTGTGAAATAATAAATCCTTTCCAAAATAAAATGACAAATTTGAGCTTTGGGAATGGAAAAGCACTTTCTTTAACTAATCTTATAATGAAAACATAAATTATGAGGTTATAAATTCACATTTAATGATGCCCTAAGGTAAACAAACATTTCCTTGATTTAATCTCCTACCCAGTGATATATTCGTAATTATGAGGAATCCAACATCCGGTATTGCCTTTTCTCCGTTATATTGTCGATCATACAAAATCGCATTCGATGTACTGCAGTTAAATTTTATTAATGCGCTTCATTAACTAAACTATTCAGGTTTAAAGCCATAATTCTGTGTTGAGAACAAAAATTTTATGGTTCAAACAATGGAATAAAGTGAAAATTGAAGGCATACGCATACAGTTATTATTGACTGTTAATTAAATTTGAAAAACAAATTTCTTGAAAAGTCAATAAAAAATTAACATGACAAGATCATTGATAGAAGAATGGGCAAGCATACCAGAAAGGAAGCAATAAGAAAAACATTATCTACTATTTTTAAATTATTCAAACCTCGTGACATTAGCCACGATGATTCCATTATGAAACCACTGTGCTCGACCGGCTAAACCAGTGAATATTGGATCGCATATTAAAGCGGTTGTAGAATATCTACAAATATTCCTACTTATTTATTGCCGTTCAGGTTAATTAATCAAATAACCCGCAAAAATTTCCTTAAAAAAAGTCCTTTTAATAACATATAGGTACGAATGGACCTCTAGTGATCACTTGGATTTCCTGATCAATCCAGCCAATGACAATAAACAAGTGGCACTGCTAGATCATCGTATAACTTTCACAAGGAAATAAAAACTCGACATTAATAAATATGAAAAAAAATTGGTATTGCTTCGAAATTTTTCTTGACTAACTAATGGTATTTTTTTGTCATACCTATGCAGATATCGATATTATTCTCTGACAAAAAAAATCCCACCATAGCACTTAGCTAAGCTAGTCAAGCCAAAAATTTTGCATATTGTTTATGGAAGCGAAGGAGCAAAATGTGATCAGAAAATTAACATAAAAAATAATATAATAAAAAATAGAAATGATGTGATAAAATGTGAATTTAAATGATAAAAAATACCTCGGTACAAGCATTGGATCTTTATTTTTTATCTTCCCATTCCACAGTAGCGTATTACTGCCTTGACTGATTTCTACTTTTACTATTCCTACAATAAAATTATCATAATTAAAATTATTAAATTAAAAATATTAAATTGATAATAGGTCAAATAAGTCAAATAATTTAATTCGATAAAATTTGTTGAGAATAATTTTAAAAAAAATTCTAAAGATTAAAATGGAATGAATTTTGAAGAATTATTACGTTAAAATTTAATTTACCAAATTTATTTAATTAATTTATTAATTCCGAATTATTTAAAATAATTATACCCATTAAATTAATTAAATTAATTTTTAAAAAATTTTTGCATATTTTGTTTAAACTTTAGAATATAAATAAATATTTTATCAATCTAAATTTTAAATTTCATTGGCAATTTTGGTTAATAAATTAAAACAATTTGTTTTCGAATTTACAATGTATTTTCAAATTTATATTATAATTAAAAATTAATAAGAATTTTTAAAAACTTATTAAAATTGTAAAATTATAAATAAATAGCATTATTGAAACTGTATTATAAAATTAAAAATATTAAAAGATTTAATTTGGCAATGTTTCATTTCATTTTAACAAACAGTAGAAAAAAAGAATCTTTGCTAGCGAAGCCACGAGCTGCATTTCCTGTTAATTCATCCATGCGAGATTATTCAATATGGTGAATCTAACAAAACACTTTCTGATCGCCAATGATTTCTTATTTCCTACTTGAATAAAAACTGGTCCAAACGATATTTCCAGTATTATTATCCAGTATTATATATAATCGAAAAATGATAAGTGAAATGAAGCTCTCAGGAATTTTTTCGAGAAAGTGGAGTCAAAAAAATTTGCAATACGACGTGGCAATCTTCTCAGGTTTAGTAGAACTTTGCGCATCTTGTAAGTTGAAATCGTCATTTATAAATTTCGAAAAGCATTCTTAACATTTCCTCATATTTACTACTTCTCGATACACTTCATACATTACATCTAACTATTAGTATTTGCTGCGGTTTTTTTGCATTATTTAACCTTTAGCAAATTCGAAAACCATCGTAACGCCATAAATACTCACCAGATGGCGGTTCACATGGCCATTCCCTTACTGAGCCACGAGATGAAATTTCACGACTAAATGAAGCACATAAACTTTAGGAATGATTTGATCTTCTTGCACGACAAACAATATTCTTTATTAAAGATTTGCTTCAGAAGAACAATATTTATTCGATGATTATATATATAATGCATATTAATAGATTGAAAATTACATTATTAAACGGAATATTATCAAATATGAATTTAAAAAAAATTGAATTAAATAAATAAAATAAATCGAAAATTTATAAAATTAAATTGAAATTTACAAAAATTTAATTTAATTTTATAAAATTTGAAATGAAATTAAATTCAAAATTGTAAAATTAAATTAAAATTCGTAAAATTATGTTAAATCTATTTTGAATCAATTTTAAAAATCTAAATTTTTTTAAATTTATAAAATTAAAATTAAATTCGAATTAAATTTTCATAAAAAAAGGAGAAAAAATTAAAAGAAACGAACCAAATTTTATAAAGGAAATAAGTAAAATTATTTGCAAAATTTTACAGCGAAAATAGCACATTTCATTTAATTTTATTCATTTGTTGTTCGAAAAAAAAACGAAAAATCTGAAATTTAAAAAAAAAATTTTTAAAATTCCAAAAAAATTAATAATGAAACTTTCAATCGAATAAACGATAAACAAAGTCGAAAATAAATATAAATGATAAATTTATTTATAAATTTATTTAAAAAATAATAAAAAGTAGAAAAATAAAAAATAATAAAAAATGACAAATTTTTTCATTTTTACTGGCAAATTAATATCAATTAATTAGAAGAGAATATTTGATAGCTTAATATAATAATCGGACAACCTATGACCCCTCACGAATATTATAGCAAAATAACGAGGATGGTACCATTTCAAGAATCGCTGCATTAGTACTCGCTGTCTAGTGCTCATTACTAAAAGTCGGCGCAAATACTTACTAATACAAGATTAAATTAGAGCTAAGGTATGGCGAAAAGACAGAAGTGGAATAAATGCAAAGATGATTAATATATTTTCGAACGAACTGATATAAATTATAAATGCAAGTGGGAGTCGAATGATTTCTCATTTCGGCGAGCCAATGCTGGAATTCCACTCCCCGTAGGAACAAACCGATCTATCAAAAATTTCGGTGATATTTTCTTTTTTTTTTAAGAGTCCTCACCATTACTGGTTAAACTCGCTCCACTGGCTTGTCGTATTCGGCAACATGCCAGGGAGTCTCTTGGCGATAGAAATACAGGTGAATTGCCAGCATCACCCACCCGGATTTTGTACAGGTTTACTCCTGTGGGGAATCGAATCTCAGCGTTGGCGCTTCCAATTGAGCAGCAACCCACTGAGTCACTCTACCCCGGGTTATGTTATGTTATATTTCTATCGCCAAGCAATGCAACTTCTCTGACAAACTGAGCCTCGCCAGACATGATGACTAGAAGAATTAAAATATAAAATATGGTATTATTATCATGAAAATAAAAATGCAATGTGAAATTATTAAGTAATAAAATTGAAAATGAAAATAGAGATTTCTAATAAATAAACCAATAAATTCAGGTATTTCGATGTTTAGTAAAGTAAAGTAAAAGTAAATATTTAGTGCAACACAACTGTTATTTAATTAAGTTCGCTCGCCTATATTTTCAGAAATTTTTTAACGAAAATCGCTTGGGTGTTAAAGGTGGGAATAGAAATGCCCAGCAATGGATTTTCCTCTTATCGGAGGGGCTCAGCGGCTAAACTTTAACGCTTAAGGCAATTATTCGAGTAAAAACCCCTCGGCCAGCCGACCACTATTTAATCGAAAAACGCGAAACTAGAATTCGTTCTATAGTTTTTGTTTTATATTCGAATTACAAAGCAAAATTATAGAGGCTTAAGAGAAAACCGTAAAAGCGAATTGCTTTGTATAATATTTATATATCGAATTCAGAAGATATTTTGACCGGTTCTTACATACATATTTGGCAAGAATTTTTAATTACAACTAGTTCCATTAATATTTACTTTCCCAATAAATATATAAAACTTTTTCATAAATAATTATAGAGAATGATTTAACGAAAATTTTTCTGCCAAATTTTAGATTTTTTTAAACTCCATTCCTATGCAAAATAATCGAATGATAACTTTTTAGGACAAATAAGCGAGAACAAAACAAAAACAGTTGGTTGACGCGTAGAATAAACGATCCTAATAAATGGATGAACGATCAGAAGTAATTTATGAGTTTATGAGGTTATATGCCAGTAAAAATCATCATAAATAACAAATATTTAACATAAATTATGCATTAAAAATTATGAAAACCAATTTAAATTTCAGTAATTTTTAAAATAAATATATTAAAATATTTTACTAATTAAATTAAAAAATTAAAAATATTGGAAATCTTGATTTCAGCGACTATTTGAGCTAAAAAAAGTCAACCTAATTATGTGAATATTTAGAAACAAAGCTTAAGCCTAGGATTTGCTTGGATTTAAAAAAACCTATGTAATATAAGTTGAAAAAATAAATTATAAAAGTATAAACAATATTCAAAAAAGTTTAAGCCTTGGAGTAAGGTTAAGCTTAAATTGAAGGAGCATAGGGAATTACCGCACTGATATTTCAAGCATGTTGCATGAAAACGTTTCTATCAAAATTTCCAGCAAATGTAATCTTCTCGAAAAATTAAAAATGAAAAGAAACAATTGATACAGTCCTACTGCAATCAAGGAAATAGGTCTGAATTTTACGAGATAAAAATATTAAAATATGGTTTTAGAGAATATTGATTGTGGTTCGACAGAAAACGGTGAAGATTTTGGTACCAAATTACAAATCGGGATAATGTGCGATACTTTCAGGAACAAGTGTGATGAAATGAGTGAAATTTTTTTGAACTCTAAAAATTGCTCAGTGGGTTATTGTTCTCATTTAGGAGCCATTTAGAAGCGCCGATGCGGGAGTTTGATTCTCAGCGGGAGAAAACTTTCTTCCAACTGGTGCCAGTGATTTATCTATACTCCCAACTAAGTGACCTGCCAAAGTCTGGCTCCTGCCATGAATAAAAAGTTCAGCGGAACGAGCCTAATCGACGATGGTTATTCATTTGTAAAGAGAGGGAAAACAGAGTTAACGAACGAAATACTGTCTAACATCGTCGCCCTTAGGCACTTTTAGTAGAAAGGTTAATCGCAAAATAATTTAACTGCTATCTATCCTATTTTATGATTCGAAATTGGTTTTTGGGCACGAAATTATGCAAAAAGTGACAAATCAATAATAATTAATTCCTTTTGGCTGCATTTCCGTTTTGATATTTGGCCTATTTTTGTTTTTTTTCTTATTTATTATTATCTTTCGCTTACAACTATATTATATGGTCAAAGCAGTGCTCGATCGGCTGTTAAAATAGAGAAACATAACCACTGAATACTTAAGTGATAAGTGGAAAGGAATATCAAAGGGAATCAGTTATTGCTACTGCAGTTAATTAGTTCGTGAACAGTCCACATTACTTTTGATTAGGCGAGCTCGGCCAGTTGTTACTGTTAAAAAGTTTGCCGAGGAGTAACTTAACCAGAAGTGCAGATAAATCACCCAACTAAGATTTTTTAAAACTCCTTAGGTTTCTGTTGGAACCAATCTTTTCCTTTCAACACGATAATTTATTGGCATTTTTACAAAGTTTATTTTACAATTTTTTATTTTATTTTATTTCAAAAGCGAAATCATTCATATACATTTATACATTTTAGAAATTAAGGAACGACATCTTAATTAACAGACACTTATGAAAAAAGGTTACTAAATATTAGTAGGAGCAACATCTCAGTAGTTCGAGGATGGCTTCATGATGGTTAGGGAACAGCCTCTTAATAATTATAATCTTCTTCTTCTAA